CAAAATAATAAGATCCAATTAAGATATTTCATTGTCTCAAGATAAAAAATACACCCTGTATATATGGTGAATAGCTAAATTTTTGAGTTGTTATTTGTTTTGTAACGAGCTGTTTTTTGTTTCTTTTTTGTATTTTTCTTGTATTTATTTGTCTATTCACTTGGTTTGTAAGATGATTGTAATTATCTAGAAACATCCAACGATTTCCTAAATGATCGGGCTACAATTTAATTAATTAATTATTTAATTAATATAAAGTAATTTGTCACTACAGGGAGACGTTAGGCGCTATCTCAACTAAATTAATAATCATAATTTTAATAATTTATTAAATAATTTAGAGCCTTCTGAAGAAAAGACTAATTATCGATATCGGACATGCGCATTAGGTGTAAAAGGAAAATTTTTTAAAAAGCATTCTAGAAATAGTTTTGTTCGTTCGTTATAAATAGTAATATTCGATTTTTCCTGAGTTTAAAAAGACTGCATCTTAAAGATTTGTGTTGTTTGATTTAAGTGCAGATAGAGAAGAGAACAGAAGATTTTATTGTTTCTTTTATGTCTCAAAATAATTATTCTACAACAAGTATACATGAAGTCAGTGGCGTGCCGTCATTAGAAGTGGTGGAAGCGCCGCTTCCCTTGTATTTTATAAAAAATAAATACATATTAATTTTAATTGTATGAAAATAATCGCACAATATTTTATTATAACTACATTATGTATCTTATTACAAATTTCTATACTACACGTGAAAAAAAAAATAAGATTGCTATTGTATATTCGAATATTAGTGGCAGAGTGGAATCTCTGTATTGTCAGATTCCAAAAAGCCAGATTTGCACACGCACTTTACAGAGCACGAACCTCACCCGGTTTAGCCAATGGAAGCCTACGACCTTGGGTCGATAACACTTCCAATTCTATCCGGGACCGGTTCTGGGCTGTTAGCCGCCTGCCCACTAGATATTTGGCCAATTACGTGAATAACGAGTAGATTTATAACTTAACCCAACCGATAAGAATTTACCGGTATATTTTTACGATAGTTCTGTATAGTTGACAGGAGTTAAAATCCATTAAAATATTTGATATTTTTATTCCGCTCTCCGATTTTATATTACTCACTGATTTCAATGTTAAACCGGTGATATTACGATTTCGTATATCCCATCTTTAAGGGGATGTAGAAAAAAACGTGTATAATTCTTGTATAATGTTAAAAAATTAACGGTTACTTCGACAGCATCATTTACAACTAAATTTAATGAATGAGAAAGATGCACGAGGTACAGAAAAAGCTCTAGAATTTATTTTCCTTAAATTTACGATTTATGTATCCGTTTGTCATAAAAATTTGTCTTTCCATTTTTTCCCGAGACTACAAATATTCGAGTACAAAGTAACTGGTTTCGACTTATTTCTACTTAAGTAGTTAAATAATTAAGCGATTAGGGAATTGGGGACGTAAACAAAACCCTGATGAAAGAGCCTGAATATTACTTAAACAAAAGCTTAACCGAACCAATCTATAGCCAAGTACAGTGGGGACTGATTTCTTCGAAATTGTAGCCCTTATATCGTGACTAGTGATTCGGAATGTAATTGTGATATTAAAAATGCATTTAGAGAAGTCTACGGTTTTTACTGGCTTATCGAATAAACGATACGAATGGACCCTAGACCATCACTGACGCGCAATTGACTGATTGCCTCTGGATGTCAGCTTCTTACAGAAACACAGCTTCCCTATCATCAAATGTCACGGCACGCCCCTGGTAACAGTATGCAATCAATATTGCGGTAAAAGTCCAGATACGTATACCGTCATGGCAACTCATCTCCGATTCCAGCAAACAAAAGAAAGGAAACAGTGGGGACGCATGTTCTAACCTAACCTAACCTATTCTAATAAATTACCATAATTATTACCAACCAAATTATTAGAATAGGTTAGGTTAGGTTAGAACGTGCGTCCCCACTGTTTGCTAGAATCAGAGATGAGCAGCCATGACGGTATACGTATCTGGACTTTAACCATTGCTTATAACCAGTAGCTTGTAACTTTGTTATGATGCTTATACTGAAGATATATATAACGAAGCATCATAGCAAAATTAAACAAGTTTCATTGGTTATTACATGATAATACTCGATGCCATTTTGCAGGACCATATTAACCAACCTACTTTATAAAATACGTACAACGGAAAAATGGCCGTTAGCCATTGTGAATAAACAAAGCAACACCCAAAACACGTAGAAACTTTTCTTAATTTATATATTTTACATACATTGCATTTGTATTTTATTAAGCTTATTCTTACTCTTTAAACTGTTGGTTGGTCCTGAATTTCTTACAGCTGACATAATTGTTTTCCTCCTTTCCTTCTTTCTGTAGAAAAACATCCCGCCACCCACGTCAGCTCCGAAGTAACTTTACTACAGTGTTGCCAGATAGTCAATTATCCCGTGTCTACGAAATTTCCCGAAATTAATGAATTTTATCGAAAATTTTCCACAATGCGTCATTGTGGAAAATTTCAATATTAATAAATATTAATATTATAGATAAAATTTTAATTTCAATACTCGTAGTATCTTATTGAAATGTTTTTTGAAGAGTTAGCTATTAAATTCTTGCTTAATTAATTAATTTAATAATTTGTTTTCTATCATAATTTGATAATATGGAGGAATCCTATTGTTATATAAATTATGGGATGGCAGAGGATAGAGAGGAAGCTAAGACGTCAGCCTATCGCTCCCAGGATCGAGTCCGGACGGCTAAACCCCTGAGAATTTTTCGGGATAGCATGCCCCAGACATGTCTGGACCTGTCCTTCACCGTATTTAAACATATGTCTCCCTTTAAACGTACTGTATATATTTTATTCGTTAAGATCCACATTATAGCAGAGAAAAAAGCAAGAGTTTATATGATATTACAAGTATACAATTGTGCCTCAATCCCGAACAAAGATTCAGTATAGAGGCCTAACATACTCTAAAATTGACAGTGTTATCTTCTAAATAAATGTCCGAGAATCTTCATTTAGAAAGCAGAGAATTAGTAGAAATTTATCACCTTTCAAGATACAAATTTAAGCAGAATGTTTTATATCAATTTAAACATGGATTGGCTTATAATAAAGGAAGACATACGAGATGAGATATGTATGGCCGTCCGCAAAAATTTTTCGGGAGAGGCAAAGCTTGGAGACCATTAATTACGTCAATAATTTTTTACTTGATTTTTGGGTTTTTTTTCACAAATAAGTTATAGAACACGGTATTGCACCAAAGCGTCTTATGGTCGATGGGGTAAAGTTAGGCTTACATATCTCAATCACTTCTAAGAATTTAACATGATTTGTAACGTTACTCGTAAATCGTAATTTTCGCATATTACTGAATGTAATAGCAATAACAAAAATCTAGTAAAATTAGAATTACATTTTATACATTATATAAATACATGTCATTCGTACTGGCTACATGTATTTATATTTGTAGATTTATTTTTATTTTACTTCCCCGGCTCTATTATATGTAACAAAGGGAAAGTATGGCTATCGGTCGAAAAATGACCCCCAAGATTTTTACATTTTTGAACTCAGGAGACCTTGAAACGTCGAGAAATGCAAAAAAAAAAATTGGTTTTTTTCTGTGTGTGTGGATGTTAGTTTGTTTATACTGTATACGTGTGTGGGGGCTCGATTTTGTTCACCCTGTTTGGAGCTTAATAATTCCTGTTCTTTTACTCAAAAATTTCTGAAATTTTGTAGGGATGTTTGTGTATTAGGGAGATTGATACTCTTAAATTTTGGTGGTTAGAGGTCGAAGAGGTAGGGAGATATTGTGGGTCGTGTGTATTTTCAGTTGGATCGGACTCGATGATTTTACTCGTTATTAGCATTTAAAATTTTTAAAATAAAACCCATCCTACCCTCTAAATTAATTATTATAAAATGGCAAAAAGCTTAAGAATATAAAAAGTTTTTTAATGAAATATCATAACAAATGGCGTCACCAAATGTTGTCGGAAAAGTTAAGTAACTCGATGCTGGATCTTTTTGTAATTGTATTTATTTGAAAAACGTACAATATTTTGTATCTTTATTGTAATTTCCTAATAATAACATTATTAGGGAGACCGGAATGCATTAAGTTAGAAATTACAAAAAGTAAATTAGCGTACTTTTAGCATTTATTAATTAAACACTAAGAAAGCCTTTTTAGCAGATCCATTAAGAGTTCTGCCAGGTTCACAACTTTCTGAGGCTTTTTTCGACCCATCCAGATTCAATCTTGGGTCTCCCAGAGAGGCAGACTACTACCTTAATTAACCATTCGGCCATCCTATAGTCGTAATTTTAACATTGTAATCATATTGATACACTAGCTGTTACCCGCGACTTTGCCCACAAGGATTTTGCAATTTGATAGAAATAACCTTCAGTTCAGCCCCAAATATATAAAATTACTTGTGTTACACATAACCCCTTATTACTGAAAATCTTCTAATGCAATCGAACGTTTTCAATTTGATCAATTAGAAACAAAAAATCGCATCTAAAATAGTACAGTAAAAGTCAGGTTAAGCCTTAATGCTCTCCCTCTCCCCTCACGGAGGAATTTCGAAAAATCCCTTCTTAGTGTGCTTTTTCATGACGTACCCTAACTGTGTACCAAATTTCACCTCTTTAGGTTCAACGGTTTGCTCTGGGCGATGATGAATCAGTGACTCAGTCAGTCAGGACAAGTAATTTTATATATTTAGATGTAAATCGAACTAATGAAAAACGTTTTTGTTGTTATAATTATGGGAATATTTTTATTTTAAAAACACTAAACAAAAATTTTAGTGTCATTTTGGTGAGATATACTGTGCTGTTCGTACTCCTCGAACCCCCTAATGTGGCTACTGGCTGATAAAGAAACATTTAACTTAAACAATATTTAAAAATTATTTATTAAAAATGTAAATAATCTGAATTTTGTATAATTTTCATAACGTTTTAATTTGCACATTCGGGACACATTTTAGATGATCCATCACTTATGAATCCTTTTCCGACCAATGATTTATTGCATTTAGTACACAAAAAGCAGTCGGGATGCCAGGCTTGATTTTCAAAAGATACAAAACGGGTTCCTCCGGTTTCTAAAAAATAGATTAAATAAAATATACTTAAAGTTCCTCTTATGTTTATTTTCGAAACTACTTAAATTAAAACATATTTAACTGAAAATAGGCTTTTTACAGGCTGTACATTGTTTGGCAAACATCTCAACGAAACATTCAAAACAATAAGGTTTCTCGTTGTGTGAAGTAAACTGTTGTCCAGCAAGATTTATCTGACAATTAGTACAACAAAAACAATCCGTATGCCATGATTCATTACGATACTTCAATTCATCACTTGTAATTATATGTTTGCATTTAATACATTTTACAAAGAATTTTTGTTCATAACAAGAGCTGCAATAGATTTCATTGTCTTTTGGAATAACATTTTCAATTCTGATTGGATTTTGACATATGTTGCAGCAGAAACACTTTTCATGCCATTGCTTTCTTTTATATTCCACTTTCTTAATACCTTATGAAATTATTAAATATATATTTAAATATAAAATATAGTATTTACTTTTAAATATAAATTTAGATAATATTTAACATATGCAATACAATAATAATCTTCATACCAGCCTGAAAAACTTCATTGCATCCTTGACACTTGCTGCTTTGGGGGGTATCATGACAAGTGCTACAATAAATATTTCTTTCTTCTAATATAAATTGCTTATTGATAAGTTTTTCGTGGCATTTGCAACACACAAAACATTCTTCGTGCCAATGTCTGTTTTTATAAGAAAGATCCTGAAACAAATTTTATTTATAAGATTTAAACGAGTATAAAACTTAACAGCTTAAAAAAATAACTGACTTTTGAATAAATTCCAATTATTTTCCCACATTCATCGCAGATATTTGAAAATTCTGTCTCATAACATTGGATACAGTATGGATGTTCCTCTCTAATTACGAAGCTTTGTCCACTGAGAGAATTATCACATTTTTCACAGCAAAAGTGTGTTACGTGCCAATCTTTTTGCATTGCTTTGACACATTCTCTGGCAAAGATAAGCTAGAAGAACACCGTTTATATTACACATTTATTATTATTAATGTATATTATAATTATTTTACGAACCTCATCACAAGCTGCGCAACGTGGTCTAAACACTTCTGCATAATGGCGTTCGCAATATAATTTATGATCTTTCAAGCAATATACCAGATCTACCAACAATTCTTTACATATACAACATATGAAACAAACTGGATGCCAGCAAATTCTCTCTCCAAATTTGGGTGCAATTATTACAAGACTCCCTTGAGTCACAAGTTTTTTACAATGATAACAATTCTGTGAATATATTTTTATACTTTTAAATTCATAATTTTAAACAGTTATATAATAATTATTATTATAAATAGTTCTTGCCGTTGAGCTTTCTATGACTTCTTTTACATATCCAATATCTAACGCATTTTTATCTCTTTCGTTTTTGAAATCATAAAAGTTATTTTGATAATCGTAATCGAAAAATTTGCAATATCTCAAAGCAAAATCCTGTTTAGGTAATTGCAACATCAGTTGTTGATTTCGATAGTTCTCTCCTACAGTTCCTAAACGGGGAACTTTTCGTGATGGAATTTGTAGGAAATATTCCTTAATCTGATAAACGTTTAAAATCAGTTTAAATTATCGTTTTAATTTAATTTAAATTTTACAAAATCTATAAATAACTTTTTCAGTAGTCAATCCAAATGGTATCCAAGAATATCCTTCATTTAGTGTTATTTCTTTTAAATTGATTTTATTTGCATTTGATAAATCATTGAAACCAATTCTATCTTTTACATCCACAAAATTTTGATGATAAATATCGTGAGAGTAACGTGAACATTTACAATTGTTGCATATGATTCTGTAAAAATGTGTCTTATTTTTTAAATTTAATTTTCATTAANTAGTTAATAAAATAAATATTTTACTTACTATTTTTCACTAAGAATTAATTTTGCTGATGGGCCAGATAAAAATAACCAGTGAGAAAATTATACAGTGTGAACATTTTTGCCCATTGTAAGTGTGAACGGGCATTATCAGGCAACAAACTGCCAAGACGACACAGGATTGCTGAACACATGTAGAGGGAAGGGCGTATGATGTAAGAAGTCATTCCTCAGCATTGTGGCATTAAACAGGGAAAAATCCATCCTCTCCCCTCAATCTAGTTTTAGAGAATCTGTTCAGTGTATTAAACAAGTTACTGAGGACAAGCCAGGATATCAACCAACTTCTTTTTGCCAATGACCTTACTATCCTTTCTAAAACTCCTCAACACCTAACCCAGCTACATGAGTCAGTTATAGATTTCAGCAAAAATTCAGGTCTTTCTTTTAACATTAACAAATGCAAACTTCTCGCCTGTGAAGGTACAAAAAGCTCCTATAAAGGTTTGTTCTCCATGAAAAATCTGGACATCTCCCTTACAGTCAACACTCACGTCAAACCTATCCCCTCTAAGGATTCTTTCTGTTACCTCAGTAATCAACTGGAGAAATAGTGGGGTGATATCTGGTCCCTTTTCTGACAACTTCTAAATGATACCAAGTTACTATTAAATAAAACTGCATCAGCCCTCTTCCCATTGGGAGTATTTCATCTGTCTAAATGGGCTAGGCACCTCTTATGCCAAAAAACTCTGTGAAGTACTTACGAAGAGACATCGTTTGGAAATACATTGGACTTTCTATGCAGATTGTACTGTGGAGTCCAAAAATGTAAAAATTTGAGGGGTCATTTTTTGACTTTCCCTCTGTTATATATAACAGGTGGGAAAGTAAAAATATAATATTTATATATAAGCACGCCCTAGAATCCAAACTAAACAACAGCAAAACTAGTATGCAAATGATATTGCTGGAAGTCAATGAGATCTGATGTTGCCAGGTGGACGTGCACTTGCTCCCAGTGCCAGCACACAAAGGTCCATTCAAAACCAGGCACCTTTCTCACTCCCAGTTTCTGCTTCAAACATATGCATATCGATATAGTAGGTCCACTTCTCCCATCACAAGGGTTTAGATATATAGTCACATGCATCATAGATATTTCAGGTGGCTAGATATTCCAGTTACCAATATCTCAGCAGAGTAGGTCACAAAGACCTTTTACGCAAACTGGATATGCAGCTTTGGTGTTCCACTCAGGATGACCTTGGACCAAGGATGCCAATTTCAGTACAATCTTTTCTGCTCCCAGTCAGCAACACTATGCATCAAGCAAATTTGTACAACACCATACCACCCAGTGGTGAATGGCATGGTTGAACAACTCCACTACACATTAAAGGCAGCTCTACGTTGCCATGAAACAATTGGTCAAGAGTACTCCCAACAGTTCTCCTAGGCCTTCAAACAGCTTTTAAGGAAGACGTACAGGCCACCAGCCAAAATGGTTTACGGGGAAAACCTCAGATTGCCTGGCAAATTCTTTTCACCAAGTAAGAGCAATTCTGACCTAGCAAACTTTGTCAGTCAACTTAAAAACACTAAGGAAAAGTTATGCCCAACAAACACCAGACAATCAACCAAGACAACTTGTTTTGTACATGATGAACTGAGCTCATGTACAAAACAGAATACAGTCATGTATTTGTGTGTGACCACGCTGTAAGGAACTCCCTATAATCAATCTATTTGGGTCCATTTCATGTGGTATCAAGAGACAAAAAGGTCTTCAGAATCGAACAAGGCAGCTGAAAAGTCTCAGTAAACATAGACCGGTTAAAACCAGCATTTATCATGTCAAACTCAGATAAGGAGTCCAGCGTGCCATCTCTAACATCTGATCCATGGAAGATAGGTGAAGAATCGTCAGCAAGGGCAACTACACCAGATGACAGGCCAGGACCAGTCACAACCAGATCTGGACCATTTCAACCTGAGATATTTATAACTGTAGACATCTCATTGTCACTGGTGGGGGAGTGTGTGACGACCTAAATAATTGTAACTTTAGTGTCTCATCTGGAAATCCAGTGGCACTGGCGCACAGATATAAAAATGTGTGTGGACCATCCACCATCATTCATTCTTTTTTGTGGCTACGCTCCTTGTGACGAGCAGACATACTCGCACATGCTCCTTTACGTGACCATCCTTTACATGATGGTGTATAAGGCTTCCTGTATATTATTGTGAATAAAATTGGTAAATACATGGTAACTAAAAACTGCCACAGGCACCTATGCCTTCACATTAAAAGCTTTGCTGGATCCTCTTCCCACTAAAACTAACTTATATCGCTGGAAAATGTCACTCACCTCCCATTGTGGTGAATGCGAGACAATCCACCATATTCTTTCGAAGTGTCACCACTACATGCCTCTCAGACATGAGCTGCACAACAAAATTCTGACTCAGATCAGCAAGACAGTTCATTACAACAACAAATGCCCTGGCATCATGGTCTCTATCAACAAATCAATAGATGAGCTGGGAGATGATACCCTATGCCCTGATACTGTTATATGTGACAAAAAGGAAAAGATCACCATTATTGATCTGGCCATATACCAACCAATATGGAGGGATTACCTTAACATTGCACGACAGGCTAAGACAAATACTATCACATAAGGGACCATTTTGTGGCAAGAGGCTACTGTGTTGTCAATGACATGATTGTTTTTTGCTCCATGGGAGGGGCCTAAGCCCGTAATACAGACCTTTTCAAACTCTGTGGCTCTCCCATTGGTTACTTGGTTAGAATGCACAAATTCATTAAAACCAATATACTTAAATTTGGGCACAGAATATGGAGTCAAAGATGTAGTCCTCACCCTACCCATCATTGGTTAACTTCTCACTATTGTAATCGGTATTCTACATTCTATAACTATGTAATGATGCTATGTGTACTTGTAACTCTCTATTTGTATATTATGGCATTCATTCTGTTTGTCTATATATTTATGTCATACTTATCTCCCTGCATAATTATCCTATTCTTTGTACACATCTTCATTTGTGTAATAATATGTAACCTACTTATTCTTGTATTGTTTTACCTTACCTTACTTTTGTCATGTTCCTGAGGTGCCATCCTCTGGACAATTTGTTACATACATGCTGTATAAATTTAATGAAAATAAACATGGTTCAAGCCCACCTGGGGTGAAATTTTTTTTTCTGTTTTATTGGTTCTAGTCTTTTATTTTGAGATTTTACATCATAAATATCTTCATAAATGTCTCTGGACTCACTACAGCATTTATTTTTGTGATTCTACTGCACCAGTTTGCTTCTTTAGCAAGGTTGAAACATACTATATTTTTGATAATCTGAAACTGTGTTCAGGAAACTGGTGGAGGTCCGCAGCGATTCTGACATGAAATCAATAATCAGACCTTGGTATAGGGGTGAAAGACTAATCAACTGAACTAAATAAAGATGATAGAATGCCAAGTGTTTGAATTTATTACACTACATAGTGTTTAAGAATCAAACCTCCTATATTGTAACATGACTGACCTAGCTAACAAAGATGGACACTCCATCAAACCAATTGGACAGACATCAAACTGTCCCAAAAACAGAATCAACCATCAAAACAGGAGAAAATCACCAGGTGAGAGTATTAGATATTTCCCACAATGGAATTGCCCATAATCTTTACTTTGGCTCATGATTCCACTTCGGACATTCACAGTTCAAACAAAGGACTCTGCATGGCAATCGTCCAAAATGGTGCTACCCATGACATTTCATCGTGTTTAAACAGTGGAGCATCTGCCTTGTCATACAACCCTTCCCCTACACATATGTTCAACAATCCTGTGTCTTCTCAGTAATTTGTTGCTTGACGATGCCCGTTTAACACAGGCAAAAACGTTCGCACTTTGTGTATAATTTTCTCGTTAATTTGTTAGGTTTTTGCAGTGTTTATTTTTGTCTAATATTAACCAGTTGTAAAGTAGCAGTTGTTAACTGACCACATAAAACATTTGATAACCTGAAAATTTAAAAAAATTGACAATTAAAAATTTATTTTAAGAAATGACATTTTATATACATAATAATTCAATACATTAATTATTAATTTATAAAAAACTTAATTTATTGTTAGCATTATTTTGAAATATTACTTTGATAACACAGACAATATGAATATAGATTCATCATCAAAAATTAGTAAGAGGCAATTTAAGTAGATATTTAATTTGTAAAATAGCTAATACTTTGATTGTAAATTTTTAAAAAATTATTTAAAGTTCAGAAATAAAATTTAAATTTTTTTTTTTTTATAGTAGTAGATAAAACTGAAATATCAAAACCCTAAAATAAGTATTTAGTTTTCTTTACTTTTCACATGAATAATGTAAAAATGGAATAGATTTAAGATTAGACTTTTAAGAAATAAAACAACAAAACTGGGCATTGATATAAATCTGACGATCTTTTCAGCAATATAACATTTCATTCAATAGTTAAAATATTTTATTTTCAAACTTACTGATTCAATGATTAAAGCTGCTGCATTCTTATGCTAATTTTTAGTTTACAGGTAAAATGTCTTGAAATAATTTTTTTCTAGAAAGTTATATGAAACATTTATTTGTTTTGACTTCTACTAGCAAAGTTGTCATAAAATTTTTGATAAATTAATAAAAATACTTAATGCTTTATTTAAAATTTTATTTAAATGAATCTAATTGTTTACAAAAATAATAAATTAAGAAAGTGTTTAAAATACAGTATTTAAATTGTCCTTGGTCATTTGTTATGCAGCAAAACTCTTTTTCTCTAAATTTTTATTTTGTTTGTTTATTTTGCATAAAATAATGCAACTGAAGTTGAATGAATTTAAATGATATTAAATAATTTAAAGCAGAATTGTGCTAAAAATTCTCTCAATTCCAATTAACTCTACATTATTAAAGTCTACTTTGTTAATTGTGAACAAATAAGACAGCTAAGTTATAATTTTTCTAGTTACTCTATCATTATTATTATTATTTAGCGGTAACTTGACCTTGTCCTTGTCCAGCATGGTACTGGATACAGACATTAACTGAGCAGGATGCAATCCATATACTGAATAATAAATTGCTTTTTGATTATGACAATTTAAGTGAACATAATGCATGAAAAGATTACAATCACAAAACATACACTAATCGGTTTTTATAAAACAATACAAAACATACTATGATCAAACAATAACAACAGACCAGGGCCCTATTTACTATATTAAAAATTACAAAGTTATAAACCTGCATAAAGATTACAACAAGATATTGGTTACAAGCTACAAGACTTATAATACTTGTAACTGGTTACTGCTTATAAGTAACAGTCAGTGGCGTGCCGTCATTAGAAGTGGTGGAAGCGCCGCTTCCCTTGTATTTTATAAAAAATAAATACATATTAATTTTAATTGTATGAAAATAATCGCACAATATTTTATTATAACTACATTATGTATCTTATTACAAATTTCTATACTACACGTGAAAAAAAAAATAAGATTGCTATTGTATATTCGAATATTAGTGGCAGAGTGGAATCTCTGTATTGTCAGATTCCAAAAAGCCAGATTTGCGCACGCGCTTTACAGAGCACCAACCTCACCCGGTTTAGCCGGTGGAAGCCTACGACCTTGGGTGGAAGCTGCACACATATAACTAAAAAATTAATAGANTGTAAATAATTTGTATAATTTTAGACAATTAAAATTATCATCAATTGATATTATTACTAACATTAATTTATTAATCGGATAATTATTTTAGTAGCTTTTAATGTTAAATAATTTACAATTTCCAGCTAATAATAAATAAGCAGAAATACATGCAAAAAAGAAACATCTTAATTTCTAGAAAATATTTATTCATAATGTTTGGAAAATTATTTAAATCTATTTTAAATTATTATTATTTTTGTGGTTAATTTGTAATCTAATATAAAAAGCAATTAAAGTTTCAAAAATATTTATAAATAATTTATAATTTACTATCTAATTTACAAATTCGCTCTTTCTAATTTTAACATATTCAAATAAAACACAAACAAATCAAAAATATCTAAATTACTAATCCATTAGATATTATTTGCATTATTTTATTTGTAAATTAATTAGAAAATATACGTGTAATCCTATTTGTTTTTAAATCAAATTTGCATTGTAGTTCATTGTGAATATCTTTAGTATACCAGTTAAAAATATAGGCTATACAAAATTAAAACTCGAGATATAATTATTTTTGAGTAAATATAATTTCTGTATGTTATTCTCGACCTAATATTGCATTAAATGATATTTCAGCTTATTCTCAACAAACTATATTTAAATTTTTACATTGAAATGTATTATTTAATTGTTAATTGAAAATATTGTATATATAAACAGAGATACCAATACTGAAAATTTTACTCTCAAACGTTTCACTTGAGAGTTGAATATTAATAATCACCTATTTCTTGAAAAAAATAGGTGATAAAATTAATGTTTTAAAATATTCATATTTGTGTATTGTTTATTTGTTTATACTGTATTATTGTTTCAAAACTGATCTAACGATTTTGTATGATTTTGACTTCAATTTTTCCATTTTAAATTTTATCCACTTCTAAATATGGCATTATGAATGTAATTATATAAATTGCCTAATACATGCAATACTTGTTTTTATAAAGAAAGTTTTAATGTAAAAAATGTCACATTATTTACCTAAATTGATAAAATAATAGGACTTGAAATATTAGTAAGATGCTTTGAAATAAAAAAATTCTATAATACTTAGTAAATTAGAAATTTTACACTGTACTATCCGTGAAAAATTATTTATAAAAACAGATAAATATTTTTATAGATGTTTATATGTTATAAATAATTCTTATCAATATTTCCATTCGCTTTAAATATCAAGTTAATATTCTCTCAAATAATAGTTGATATAATAATATTTTATGATTTATAAAATTCAAGTTATCATATGATTGATTTATAGATAAGAGCTATGTGATATATAAATAGTTCGAATAAAAAACGATTTACTTACCGTATAAATCTTTCTAAATGTCCAAGTATGACCAACTTGTCGTTTTATCTATTAATTAATAAAACTATTTTTATTATTTGTATTAACTTTATAATAAAACATAATTATGTTTAATAAACAATTGAGAAAAGTAAAAGTAATTATGAAACCTTTGCATATTCTAAAGGACACTCAATAATAGCTCGTGTAGCACCTGCCATCAGACCTCCCGCAATGACCCTTCTAATGAAATAAATTAATACCGAAAGAATTATTATTATAAATTTAATAATTCATTTGTAATTTATTCAAATAAATGAAAAACTCACATCTGTAATCCATGCGTTAAAGGAATTTCTGTTTTTCCAATATCATTATCTAAATATGTATAACTTTTATAACAACAATAATAATAATAGTTAGAAGCCAGTTATTGGAAAATTAATTTCTTTTAATATTCGTTATTATTGTTAACATCAAGTTATTGTCCAACTTACGCAGCTTCAAAAATTGCAAATTGACTTGATCGATATATTCCCGATCCTATAAACGGCGGAATACAACCTCTAAATAACATTACAGTAATTGCATTGACGGGTTCAAATCTTTTAAATATTTTTTGCTAAATATTAAGATATTTACCTATATAAACCTACAATTCCTTGAGATTTAAATACTTTTGTAAATGTTTGCACCATTCCTGTTTTTTCGAATCCAGATTGAGCTTGCATTTTAGTTTTAATAGTATCGAATGGGTGTCCAACGGCGACATTTGTAAGGCCATAAAGTACTCCGGCTAGAAAGAGAAAGTTAAAACAATTAATTTTTTAAAATTAAATTGTTTATTATTTACTTACCTCCTAAAGCAATAACTCCTTCTTTAAACCAATGAGTTCTTAATTCGTTGTGAGTCATAATTCTTTATTATCTTCTATAATGTGTCTAAAATATTTTATTAGAGAAAATTTCTTTTCGAAGATTGCTCTTATATTGACCTTTTATAAACAAATTGTGGACTTTGATTCTTAGTTCATGAGAAGTAGCAAAAAACTAGTAATTTAAACTGTCAATGATGTTAAACTCAAATACCGAGATTAATTAAAAAAAAAAACGTTCAATAGATTCTTAAAGCTATTTTATTAATAAATGTATAATAAAAGATAACGTAAGGTAATATCTAATACACGATAGAGGACACTATCCTTTTTTCTGTTTAATATAATTTGAATTTAAAAGATTAATTTAGTAAAAGTAATTTAATAATTTAGATTAAATATTAAATATCCAAATTTGTATTTAAATATGCAAATTTTAATACGCATTAACATCTACATAGTGTAAGCATTATTTTCATGAGTTCGAGCGTTAAATAATATCTTGTGGTTAGCACAAATTATTAGAATTTCGACAATCAGGCATTTGGAAATTTTCTTAGCTCTTCAACAATGTCATTTTCAAAAAGTAAAAAATATTTTGAAATGTTCATTTCATCAAAATGGTTCTAAATTTAAATCAGAATAATTGTATCCAACTATAATTAACTGAGATCACTTTCTGCGCAATAGAAGCAAGATATTTCTTCCAATATTTCGCCCTTGGACTGTATCTAGAGCTAGAGTTGACTAGGTAATTTTTTTGGTGTTGCTCTCTACCCTATTTTAGACACGTTTCTTACACTGACATCAATACGTGATGCAGTTTTCCTGACTGATAACCTTTGCTCTCGGTAAACAAGGGTTATCAGTCAGGAAAACTGCATCACGTATTTATGTCAGTGTAAGAAATGTGTGTAAAATAGGGTAGAGAGCAACACCAAAAAAAATTACCTAGTCAACTCTAGCTCTATATACAGTCCAAGGGCGAAATATTGGGAGAAGAGTAACAAATCGAAAAACTGAAACTGTAACTGTTAAAAAAGACTTAAAAGAATATCATGGATTAAATATATTAGGAATACAGAATTAGCACATTATAAACAAAAATTTTCTGCCATCATTTTAGAATTTCTTAATGTATTTAAAATTTTTTAGGGTTTTTGAGAAGCTGTAAAGTGTTGTAATTAAATAGGGTCTAGCTTCCCATAAAAGTCTTCTTGGGATGCATCACCTCGGCAGATCGCTCACGTGTCGCGTTCCGTAACCAAATAAACCAAACTACTGTAATTCTAACGAGCGATTATTTATTATGACATTGTCACAATGTCGGGCTACAACTTTTCGTCATAATGTTCTCAATTTTTTTATAGTGATCTTGCCCCATACATTACACTTTTCCTGTTAGATAGATGACCGACCACTCTATTGGTAACTCTGTTCAGGAGAAAATTTTGAATCAAAGTAACGCGACTTCAGTTTCAAATCGGAAGTTCGTATATTGTTAATTTGGGCCTCTTGCTCCTAAGATTTCCACATCTGGTCTCGATTTTCATCTATCTATCCTTTTTCGAGATTAAGGAAGGACAGACAGTCCGAGGGAGAATAGTGGAAATTTATAAGTCTACAATTTTTTCAAATTGCAGTCCAATAATTTTTCTATAAACGCAATATTTACAAGAAAATATTTCCCACGTAGTTTATACAATTTGTTGCCAAAATTTAAACACTTTATTATCATATAAAAGGAATTATTTTAGCATTTTTACATGATTTTTTATTTAAACAAGTTTTATATGAAGTCTTTTGGACATTTGGACATTAATGTATGGAACCATCACAACCTATCTATTACGGATCACTTTTCAAATATTAATAGTAGACCAATATAATTAGTAGTTGTATTAATTAGTAGTAATCCTCTCTTCCGGGAGGAGGTCAACCACTACTTTTGGTCAAATTACTTCAACCCCCTTCCGCAACAGTTCCTTCTTTCTATCGGATCAGCGGTATGGTAGCATTCGAATAGGAAAATTATATAATACGAAGTTACCAGCCAGCACAAAATATGGTTTAAGTGGTTTTCGAAGGTACAGAGTTTAAATATTTGGTCCGTTTTTGCAAAATTTGATTCGTTGGCAGATGACCGTTTGATATTTGGCTGTGAATGGTACAGTTTCTTAGATTAGTTCTCAATTATTGTTATATTCCAGTTATTTTAGGGGTTATCGCACAAATAAAATAACTGGAATATAACAGTAATTGAGAACTAATTAATAAAAAAAGGGGATAAGAAGCTAGACGGTAGACATATAGTTTCTTAGAGTTAACATTAGGAAAAAATATGATGTCTGAAAAATTTAAGATATTGTATTTTCAATTGGTATATACTTGACCAATGAAACTGCCATTTTGTACCATCCGAGTATTGCCATAAACGTGACAATGATAGGCTAAAATAACTAAACTCTTTGTATGGTTTCCATTTTGATGTTTGTTATATTGTAGTATTTGATTTATATTCACAAAGGTTATCTTATGTAAGTGTTTATCACACAAGTGACCAATCTAACACATTTTAAAAATTCTTTATTCTTCTACTGTTATTCTTCTATTTAAAGAATTTTTATATGTTAGATTAGGCATTCGATGTGATAAACTCTTACGTGAGATAACCTTTGTAAATATAAATCAAATACTATAATATAATATAATGGAAGGATTGGAAGTACGAAATAATCTAATCTTAATCTTTTCTGTTATTTTTTGCCCGAGCAACGCCTGGTTCATCTGCTAGTTACTTATTTTTTGTGCATAACCTAATAGAAATGTTTATTAAATCAATAAACTAATTATTGTAAAAGTATGTAAACATTTTTTGAGTTGCTGTATGTACTAAAAGCCAATTTTACATCTTTGATTAGAATGACATTCAAAAACATAAAACGGATTTAGTAGAAGAGAACTCAAAATACCTTCTTGGCATCGAATGTATTCAGAATTGTGACTCTTGTGAGACAGAAAAACGTTATATTGTGTTTAAAAAGATTTTATTTACGTTTTAATGATAACACTTTAGTTTACATCTAGATTCTCGAGACTATGCATGGCTTTTGTAAGATAGCCTACAAAAGTAAAGATTTGAAGACACACTGCTGGCATTACTTAGCGTGAAATCGGGCCACAACAGTAAATTTACTGTTGTGGCCCGATTTCACGCTAAGTAATGCCAGCAGTGTGTCTTCAAATCTTTACTTTTGTAGGCTATCTTACAAAAGCCATGCATAGTCTCGAGAATCTAGATGTAAACTAAAGTGTTATCATTAAAACGTAAATAAAATCTTTTTAAACACAATATAACGTTTTTCTGTCTCACAAGAGTCACAATTCTGAATACATTCGATGCCAAGAAGGTATTTTGAGTTCTCTTCTACTAAATCCGTTTTATGTTTTTGAATGTCATTCTAATCAAAGATGTAAAATTGGCTTTTAGTACATACAGCAACTCAAAAAATGTTTACATACTTTTACAATAATTAGTTTATTGATTTAATAAACATTTCTATTAGGTTATGCACAAAAAATAAGTAACTAGCAGATGAACCAGGCGTTGCTCGGGCAAAAAATAACAGAAAAGATTAAGATTAGATTATTTCGTACTTCCAATCCTTCCATTATATTATATTATAGTATTTGATTTATATTTACAAAGGTTATCTCACGTAAGAGTTTATCACATCGAATGCCTAATCTAACATATAAAAATTCTTTAAATAGAAGAATAACAGTAGAAGAATAAAGAATTTTTAAAATGTGTTAGATTGGTCACTTGTGTGATAAACACTTACATAAGATAACCTTTGTGAATATAAATCAAATACTACAATATAACAAACATCAAAATGGAAACCATACAAAGAGTTTAGTTATTTTAGCCTATCATTGTCACGTTTATGGCAATACTCGGATGGTACAAAATGGCAGTTTCATTGGTCAAGTATATACCAATTGAAAATACAATATCTTAAATTTTTCAGACATCATATTTTTTCCTAATGTTAACTCTAAGAAACTATATGTCTACCGTCTAGCTTCTTATCCCCTTTTTTTATTAATTAGTTCTCAATTACTGTTATATTCCAGTTATTTTATTTGTGCGATAACCCCTAAAATAACTGGAATATAACAATAATTGAGAACTAATCTAAGAAACTGTACCATTCACAGCCAAATATCAAACGGTCATCTGCCAACGAATCAAATTTTGCAAAAACGGACCAAATATTTAAACTCTGTACCTTCGAAAACCACTTAAACCATATTTTGTGCTGGCTGGTAACTTCGTATTATATAATTTTCCTATTCGAATGCTACCATACCGCTGATCCGATAGAAAGAAGGAACTGTTGCGGAAGGGGGTTGAAGTAATTTGACCAAAAGTAGTGGTTGACCTCCTCCCGGAAGAGAGGATTACTACTAATTAATACAACTACTAATTATATTGGTCTACTATTAATATTTGAAAAGTGATCCGTAATAGATAGGTTGTGATGGTTCCATACATTAATGTCCAAATGTCCAAAAGACTTCATATAAAACTTGTTTAAATAAAAAATCATGTAAAAATGCTAAAATAATTCCTTTTATATGATAATAAAGTGTTTAAATTTTGGCAACAAATTGTATAAACTACGTGGGAAATATTTTCTTGTAAATATTGCGTTTATAGAAAAATTATTGGACTGCAATTTGAAAAAATTGTAGACTTATAAATTTCCACTATTCTCCCTCGGACTGTCTGTCCTTCCTTAATCTCGAAAAAGGATAGATAGATGAAAATCGAGACCAGATGTGGAAATCTTAGGAGCAAGAGGCCCAAATTAACAATATACGAACTTCCGATTTGAAACTGAAGTCGCGTTACTTTGATTCAAAATTTTCTCCTGAACAGAGTTACCAATAGAGTGGTCGGTCATCTATCTAACAGGAAAAGTGTAATGTATGGGGCAAGATCACTATAAAAAAATTGAGAACATTATGACGAAAAGTTGTAGCCCGACATTGTGACAATGTCATAATAAATAATCGCTCGTTAGAATTACAGTAGTTTGGTTTATTTGGTTACGGAACGCGACACGTGAGCGATCTGCCGAGGTGATGCATCCCAAGAAGACTTTTATGGGAAGCTAGACCCTATTTAATTACAACACTTTACAGCTTCTCAAAAACCCTAAAAAATTTTAAATACATTAAGAAATTCTAAAATGATGGCAGAAAATTTTTGTTTATAATGTGCTAATTCTGTATTCCTAATATATTTAATCCATGATATTCTTTTAAGTCTTTTTTAACAGTTACAGTTTCAGTTTTTCGATTTGTTACTCTTCTCCCAATATTTCGCCCTTGGACTGTATATAGAGCTAGAGTTGACTAGGTAATTTTTTTTGGTGTTGCTCTCTACCCTATTTTACACACATTTCTTACACTGACATAAATACGTGATGCAGTTTTCCTGACTGATAACCCTTGTTTACCGAGAGCAAAGGTTATCAGTCAGGAAAACTGCATCACGTATTGATGTCAGTGTAAGAAACGTGTCTAAAATAGGGTAGAGAGCAACACCAAAAAAATTACCTAGTCAACTCTAGCTCTAGATACAGTCCAAGGGCGAAATATTGGAAGAAATATCTTGCTTCTATTGCGCAGAAAGTGATCTCAGTTAATTATAGTTGGATACAATTATTCTGATTTAAATTTAGAACCATTTTGATGAAATGAACATTTCAAAATATTTTTTACTTTTTGAAAATGACATTGTTGAAGAGCTAAGAAAATTTCCAAATGCCTGATTGTCGAAATTCTAATAATTTGTGCTAACCACAAGATATTATTTAACGCTCGAACCCATGAAAATAATGCTTACACTATGTAGATGTTAATGCGTATTAAAATTTGCATATTTAAATACAAATTTGGATATTTAATATTTAATCTAAATTATTAAATTACTTTTACTAAATTAATCTTTTAAATTCAAATTATATTAAACAGAAAAAAGGATAGTGTCCTCTATCGTGTATTAGATATTACCTTACGTTATCTTTTATTATACATTTATTAATAAAATAGCTTTAAGAATCTATTGAACGTTTTTTTTTTTAATTAATCTCGGTATTTGAGTTTAACATCATTGACAGTTTAAATTACTAGTTTTTTGCTACTTCTCATGAACTAAGAATCAAAGTCCACAATTTGTTTATAAAAGGTCAATATAAGAGCAATCTTCGAAAAGAAATTTTCTCTAATAAAATATTTTAGACACATTATAGAAGATAATAAAGAATTATGACTCACAACGAATTAAGAACTCATTGGTTTAAAGAAGGAGTTATTGCTTTAGGAGGTAAGTAAATAATAAACAATTTAATTTTAAAAAATTAATTGTTTTAACTTTCTCTTTCTAGCCGGAGTACTTTATGGCCTTACAAATGTCGCCGTTGGACACCCATTCGATACTATTAAAACTAAAATGCAAGCTCAATCTGGATTCGAAAAAACAGGAATGGTGCAAACATTTACAAAAGTATTTAAATCTCAAGGAATTGTAGGTTTATATAGGTAAATATCTTAATATTTAGCAAAAAATATTTAAAAGATTTGAACCCGTCAATGCAATTACTGTAATGTTATTTAGAGGTTGTATTCCGCCGTTTATAGGATCGGGAATATATCGATCAAGTCAATTTGCAATTTTTGAAGCTGCGTAAGTTGGACAATAACTTGATGTTAACAATAATAACGAATATTAAAAGAAATTAATTTTCCAATAACTGGCTTCTAACTATTATTATTATTGTTATTATAAAAGTTATACATATTTAGATAATGATATTGGAAAAACAGAAATTCCTTTAACGCATGGATTACAGATGTGAGTTTTTCATTTATTTGAATAAATTACAAATGAATTATTAAATTTATAATAATAATTATTATATAACTGTTTAAAATTATGAATTTAAAAGTATAAAAATATATTCACAGAATTGTTATCATTGTAAAAAACTTGTGACTCAAGGGAGTCTNTGTTATAAAAGTTATACATATTTAGATAATGATATTGGAAAAACAGAAATTCCTTTAACGCATGGATTACAGATGTGAGTTTTTCATTTATTTGAATAAATTACAAATGAATTATTAAATTTATAATAATAATTCTTTCGGTATTAATTTATTTCATTAGAAGGGTCATTGCGGGAGGTCTGATGGCAGGTGCTACACGAGCTATTATTGAGTGTCCTTTAGAATATGCAAAGGTTTCATAATTACTTTTACTTTTCTCAATTGTTTATTAAACATAATTATGTTTTATTATAAAGTTAATACAAATAATAAAAATAGTTTTATTAATTAATAGATAAAACGACAAGTTGGTCATACTTGGACATTTAGAAAGATTTATACGGTAAGTAAATCGTTTTTTATTCGAACTATTTATATATCACATAGCTCTTATCTATAAATCAATCATATGATAACTTGAATTTTATAAATCATAAAATATTATTATATCAACTATTATTTGAGAGAATATTAACTTGATATTTAAAGCGAATGGAAATATTGATAAGAATTATTTATAACATATAAACATCTATAAAAATATTTATCTGTTTTTATAAATAATTTTTCACGGATAGTACAGTGTAAAATTTCTAATTTACTAAGTATTATAGAATTTTTTTATTTCAAAGCATCTTACTAATATTTCAAGTCCTATTATTTTATCAATTTAGGTAAATAATGTGACATTTTTTACATTAAAACTTTCTTTATAAAAACAAGTATTGCATGTATTAGGCAATTTATATAATTACATTCATAATGCCATATTTAGAAGTGGATAAAATTTAAAATGGAAAAATTGAAGTCAAAATCATACAAAATCGTTAGATCAGTTTTGAAACAATAATACAGTATAAACAAATAAACAATACACAAATATGAATATTTTAAAACATTAATTTTATCACCTATTTTTTTCAAGAAATAGGTGATTATTAATATTCAACTCTCAAGTGAAACGTTTGGGAGTAAAATTTTCAGTATTGGTATCTCTGTTTATATATACAATATTTTCAATTAACAATTAAATAATACATTTCAATGTAAAAATTTAAATATAGTTTGTTGAGAATAAGCTGAAATATCATTTAATGCAATATTAGGTCGAGAATAACATACAGAAATTATATTTACTCAAAAATAATTATATCTCGAGTTTTAATTTTGTATAGCCTATATTTTTAACTGGTATACTAAAGATATTCACAATGAACTACAATGCAAATTTGATTTAAAAACAAATAGGATTACACGTATATTTTCTAATTAATTTACAAATAAAATAATGCAAATAATATCTAATGGATTAGTAATTTAGATATTTTTGATTTGTTTGTGTTTTATTTGAATATGTTAAAATTAGAAAGAGCGAATTTGTAAATTAGATAGTAAATTATAAATTATTTATAAATATTTTTGAAACTTTAATTGCTTTTTATATTAGATTACAAATTAACCACAAAAATAATAATAATTTAAAATAGATTTAAATAATTTTCCAAACATTATGAATAAATATTTTCTAGAAATTAAGATGTTTCTTTTTTGCATGTATTTCTGCTTATTTATTATTAGCTGGAAATTGTAAATTATTTAACATTAAAAGCTACTAAAATAATTATCCGATTAATAAATTAATGTTAGTAATAATATCAATTGATGATAATTTTAATTGTCTAAAATTATACAAATTATTTACAAAATAATAATTGATCAAGACTTTGTTAATTTATTTTTCCAATAGAGACCTATATATTGAGAAAATTTCCAGTTAAATTAAGTTCCTATAATTTAAATAAAAACATATATTAATTTGACTAAATATAGGTTATAAATAATGAAAAACTTTTAAAGTATATAAAAAAAAGTGAATTTATGCATTTAAAAATATGATATCATCATCTTTTCCGTTTATTTATGAAGACATTATTTTTTTTATAATTATGAAGTTGTGATATTATGTATGTATGATCCCATAAGGACGTTATTTCTTATACGGATTACAAAAGTAAGAGTTAATTCCACATCAGATAGGCGTATTGTGAATCTAACAGGTGGTATTATTATTTCTTCGTAGACTATTCTTCTTCAATAAATAATGATTTTAAAAATCTATACCTGGTGATTGTTAGCAGAGATTTAATAGAACGTTTGCTATTTAAAGAATTTTCTTTGAATTTTTCGATTATTTATTATCAATAATTTTTTAAGATAAAATTTAAATTTCTTTTTTGAATACACACATAATTACAGGCAACTCCTCGCTATTGAGGAAAATTTTGGAATTTGCGCTTTTGCCTACTCTCAACTGAAAAGTCACCAACCAAACGCGACTATTCGCGAAATTGCAATATTTCCACTATAATATTCCAAATATTTACAATATTTCCATTATAATACAGTACAGTACTTGTAAAAACGTACTTTATCTCCAATTTTTATATTTTTGACATGTACAGTACTGTTGTGCAAGGAGTTGCAAGAATTAGACCCTATTTTTCTGAGCGCAAGTTTATGGAGCTTTGAAAGTAGCCTAGCTCCAACGTTTAAGTTATCAGACATTAACTCAGTTTTTCTATACTGTTGTAACACTTCACAATCATCTTGCTTTTAAGATGATTGCGGAGAGTTAAAACAGATATTGTCAGAGATAATGTTTATTTTATTCACATTTATAAGTTATGATTTGCTTATAGACTCATCTGAAAAGGTTTAAATATTCCCGAGACAGCAACATCCTTTAGCTCAGCCACATTAGCTTGATCCCCAGGAACCTAACCCTCGCAAATACTAAAAGTTACCTGTTTTATTCAGTTGAATTTATACATGATATTTCAAACATTCAAATTTTAAGAATTTTTCTTCTAATACTAATATTTTATCATCAACAGGGATTTGGAATTACTCTAACAAGAAATTTTGGTCTCTTGACTAGTTTCTTTATTTTTATCGACTCTGGACGAAGACATTTTAGTGAACAATTTCAAAGACCAATTTTGGGTCCTTTCTTAGTGTGTGGAATTGCTGCAACAATGGCTTGGTGGACAGTTTGGCCATTAGAATACGTAAAATCTCAAGTTCAGGGTAATTATGGAAAGTGAGTATTTTATGATGCAAACTGCTGCAATATTTTTTTAAATAAAATATCTAAGTTAGACAACTATTTAACATTTTAAAAAAGAAATATCAGATCATATAGCAATTCAGAAACATAAATTATCAATTTGATTTTCAGAGACCAATCTTCTATAAAAAGACTTCGTGGTATTATTTTTGAAAAAAAAGGAATATTTGCTTTATATCGAGGTATTCTACCTGGATCTTTAAGAAGTTTTATCGCCAATGGAATGAGTATGATTGTGATGTCCTTCGCACAAAGAAAATTCACAGAACTTGGACTGAGAAATTAACTTCACAAAGTTATTTCTGTTGTTGTTTAAGACAATGTTAACATAAATTTATATTAACTCGTATTTTTGTCTTAATTTTGTGCGCACGCATAGAACACTTTTAAATTACATAAACTCTGAAACGTTACGTTAAGAATTTACAATAAAGTGAAGAAACATTTTATGAATTAAAACAAATAAAAACATCATGAATTTTTACTTTCCTGGCTGTGTTATATATCTCGAGTAAGTTTGGATTTACTGGCAATTTTACTCGCTATTAGCATTTACAATTTTTTATAAAACCCACCCAACCCTGAAAGTTAAGCCGTTTTCCATTTTATAATAGTTAAAAATATGATATAAAAACTTTTTATAATAATAAAACAACAGATAGCACTACTAAAAGTTGCCAAAAAGTTTGGGGGCATAATTTTGTCCACCCTTTTTAAAGATGGTGAACAAAATTGTAACCCCCCCCAAACGCAGGAAAAAAAAACAAATTTTTTTTGCGTATTTCGATGTTTCAAGGTCCCGAGTCCAAAAATGTAAAATCTTGGAGGGGTCATTTTTTGATCGATCGCTATACTTCCCCTATTAAATATAACAGTCGGGAAAGTAACTAGAATCAGTTGGTCAGTTGACTGTGTAGAACAATGAGAAATGTGCACATCAAATTTTATGAAAGCATAATTTTGTAAAATAAAGAAATCCAAAGTATGGCCCTTTATAACTTATAAGGAGCATGTGGATGAAAAAATCGACAAGCGCATCCCTCTTTTAAGTCTTCACAAAATTACAATCCACCATTTTCCATCATACGAGCAAGCTACATACTGACCAGGACTTAAGTCTGACAGTTTGATCATCAGTAAAAATTCTTACAGTAAATCCAAAAATATAATTTGAAATTCAACTCGTGTGAATGGTACTATTAAAGTGGTCGTTCTCGTGCCTACAATTTTGGCCAGTTTATAAACGTTTTTCCTTTGACGGTCTGCTTATTTCAACATCAGGCATCCCAAATGGTAAAGATATACATTTGTACCATTCTTCTTTTTTGTTACGCTTTGTGTGTCTTTGTTAAAAAACCTGTGGCTGGACTTGCTTGGTTTTAAGGCGTCTCCCCTTGGTTATGGGGCTACCAATTCAAAGAACTAGCAGTGGCTTTGCCACGATGGACCACTGCACGTACCCCGTAGCCTCTTGGCATAGTTTTGAGAATCATCGGATCTTGATTCTAGTCACTAATTTTACACGTGTACCCTCATCATAGGAATACAAACATTCAATACTAACTCTTAAAGAATGCTTATTGTTTCTATTAGCCTAAAATGAAACAAAACAAGATTTCTCTAAAAACAAATTGGTTTTAGAAAATAATTAAAATCCATGCTAACTTTTTGCTCAATATTTAGGTGAGCATAGTTCAGCAAGCATGCATATTCAGGATCTTTTAATCTAATTACATAATGACCACCAGCTAGTGAGCTCACAGAATAATTTGCATTGAATAGTCTTGTATATTATTGCTTATTCTGAAACAGCGTTTTCTTTTTGTTTTTTCAGTCACAACTAGGTGCATAGATAGAATGATGTCAAAGGTGCCCAGTGTCTATCTATGCACCTAGTTGTGACTGAAAAAAAGTCTTGTATAGTTCTGAAGTTATCAACGTGTAACTTTTGTTTTGAGCAATCAAGTTTTTATTCAGACATCATTACCTTTAATTAGTGACGTAGCTAGGGGTGGGCAGAGAGACATTTTTAGAATTAAAAAAATTTTAGTTGATAATTTTACTTTTCATATTATAAAAATTATTCCCAGAGTTAACAATTACAAAAATTATGACTGCCATTGAAAAATGTCTAAGTATGTTTGGTGTGCATTATGTATTTTCCAAAGAGCATCAATTGACAGACCGTCCCTGGCGAATCAATCTATAGCTACGCCACTGTATTTAATGCCACATTTTTGCCCTTAGCAGAATCGGGCATAAAAATGAAAATATTTTAAGAAGCCTCCCTATTTGCCTGTGAATGTTGGTAAAAATTCAGTCTCAATTTTTTTTTTCGAATTTTTCAGTGGGCATATTTTGACAGCTGATAGCTGTACACTTGAAATTATTACACAAAAAACCATTTTTTTACAACCAAACCTTGATTTTTAAAAGTGTTTAATTAAGAACGTCATCTTCCCGATTTCAGGCAATTGAAATGTGGCTTCTGTTCCAGAATGAATTTTATTCAAACTTCGGTGAAGATTTGTGGAAGGAGTACATTTTATTAGAAGCTTCTGTTGGCATATCTGAATTGTCCACTTGAAACTGTTTTATCGTAATTGCTCTTAGTCAAAGAACCATTGGACAACAAAGATGGTTTTTTAATCATTGAGTGCAGAGGTGACATGGGGTGCCTTCATGTTTTGGTTTATATCTCAAACCATATTATCATACGGAGCTATATTTTGTATGGTTTAGTTAAAGTTTCTTAGCTACCTTTGTGCCAAATTTTATTGAAATCTGAGGTGGTCGAGCTGGAGACCTTGATCATTTGATATGGAATGACCCAAAAAGGAAATCAATGTAACATTGTCAAATGAAATTAAGAACATGAAAGGATTTTCAAAAGCTATTTGCAGGTTTGGGCAAAACTCTTAATTTTGGAGAAGTTATCACAAAGTGAGCTCCCATATACCTACTCACCAAATTCTCCTGTCATATCAACAGATGAAGATGCTTTTCACTTTATAAGAATCTTCTGGGAGAGGAAAATTAATTTTATCACACAATTAAGAGATTTAATATCATTCACGAGTTTCTGATGTAGGCTTAGTGAAATGCTAAAAATGGATGGATAAATGTCATTCCACATATGTAAAATGAGATTTAAATTGAACATTGGTTTAAATAATATGGAAACGTTTAAGTGTGTAGAGTAATTAAATAAACATGTGTCTGTTCTAGCACTGTTTTTAGCAAACTTTTTGCATCCAAAATTCTTCTTAATCATTACTATCATAAACTATTGAATTAAATTTTGCATTTCTTTGTTGATTGAAACTGTGCTGTCACATCATTTAAAAATTTTAAGCCATATCAAATACAGCACAACAAACGTCAAGTGCTGTTCATTGTATTTGATTACATAATATATTTTTTTATGAACCTGTTGAAAAGAAATTATGTAACACGTTAGTATTATGCAATTTCTTTTCACCTGGTTCATAGGAAGAAAAAATGCTCTACATTTACAGTAGAAAATTATATTAATTAAAAATCTACTAATGTGAGGTAGATAAGGACTTATCACACCAATTATAATAGGCACAAACACCCAGGTATCAATGGAATACATTTAATAAAAATGAGAAGGGGTGTACATTAAAATCGATTACATTAGTAATTAACATGAAATAACCAGTCTGAAATGCATTTTGGTTATTTCATGTTAATTACTAATGTAATCGATTTTAATGTACACCCCTTCTCATTTTTATTAAATGTATTCCATTGAAAGCTGGGTGTCTGTGCCTGTTATAACTGGTGTGATAAGTCCTCATTATCTACCCCACATTAGTATATTTTTAATTAATTTAATTATACCAAGGGCAAAAAGCAATTCCTTTATAGAAGATTTTATTTGCACTAAACTTGCTCAT